GTGTTAGAACATTTATGTATAAGGGCCTCTCAAGCTACAAAGAATCTTGAAGTTATTGATCCATTATTAAACTTGAAGGAATTGGAAATATCCGACTGCTGCAAAATCCAAAGTCTGGTTATATCTGCTAGGAATCTTGTCTCGGGTACGTATCAAGGAAACAATATCAGTCCACTGTTCAAGAAAACTCCAAGTATATGTGAGCTAACTCTTGGTGAGGCGTTTTGTAAGTCGTTTGTTTAGGAACCTAACAAACACTCAAGTTATTCAGTCCAACTTGTGAAGCTTGCATTGAATTTTAAAACATTGGTAAGTGGTGGAGCGCGTTCTCTCCCTCCCTCTCTCGGATCTAATCTTTTTGATTCTTGGATGATTACAAATGAATGAGCTACCCCTATTTATGCAACTCTACCTCCTTAAGAAACAGTTGTGACCATCTTGATGTAACGGCTAGGAGATGTCTTCTAGAACACTCCATGATTTCCTACCGTATACACAAAGAAGGATTCTAGAAGATCTTCTAGAATCCTCTAAGGATCTCTACACTTGGCCCTAGTTGGGCCATCTTCCATTCCATTGGACTTGCTTGATTAATTAAAATTAACCTCCTCGGATCCATGGAAATTGGGCGCCCATGACAACATGGTCGAAAATGCCCGGGTTTTCAAGAATGAAATGTTGATGCCTTTCAAGCAATGTCATGAGGTGGATCGAGAGATGATGTAGCTTGAATTGACTGGCAATGCAAATGGATTCAAAATAGATGAACTTAATGAGAAAAAGAGATGCCCTCAATCGGGATATAGGCCGTTTGGAGCGCAAATTGGTCACCTTAAACTTCACGGGAGTCATGGTGCAAAGGGACACCTTAAAGACAAGAAATTTCAGACCTACTAGCTGGATTTGCGGCGAATAGTTTGGTGATTGTGATTGATATAGCTGATTTGACTGCTCTTGTAAGGATGAAGGAGATGGGGGAATCAGAGTTGTATTCGCTATTGAAATCGCTCATTGTGACACAAAGTGTGATGAAATACCTTATTTTGATCTCCTCGAGGCAACTCACAATCCATGATTTATTCATTGCCTGCCCGTCTTTACGAGATTGACAATGGAAGGTTTCGCACACTCACTATCCAACAAGCAGCTGAGAAGTAATTCAAAACAACCAACTCATTAAAAAGAAAACAGTAGTGTATTAATTTTACCGAAATCATAGAGAAGTAGGCATAGATAAAAGACCTTTAGGGAAGTAATTTATCCCAAAACTAATCTGATGTTAATTCACCAAATTGAACACTTAATAAATTAAGGTTTGAAAAAGAATTAAGTCAGCACAAAATTCGCAGAAATAAACAAAAAAAAAATAAAAAAATCTAGATTCACACAAAGAAACAAAGAATTGTCAAAATTCTAGCATCACTACCATAGAATCTAATTTTCACATAAATTGCATGGTAATTTTGAGATTTACTTTGACATTTAAAATTGTTATATATATATATATATATATATATATATATATATATATATATATATATATATATATATATATATGCAATACCCCCTCCATATGGAAAATATTTTGAACTAAACCCAATTGACTTTAAAGATTTTTGCCTACACCCAAATCTCATTTTAAATTAGTGAGACCCCCCTGAATTAGTGTGAGAAGACAAAAATACCCTCAAATACTATAACCCTAAATCTTAATTATTTGCCTCTCAACTTTCATCTCTATCATTTTCATCTTCTCCACATCTCCACCAAAACCTCTCAACTCTCTCTCCAAAAAATTCGACTTTTCTCTACCTTCGCTGCCACCACCACCACCACCGCCGCCGCCACCGCTGCTGCCGCCACCGCCTCCTCTTTCTCTCCACCTAAATCTCTCTCTCTTGTTCGTTATCTTCTCCCTCTTGATTTCTGTCTTTTTTTTTGCCGGATTTGTACACCACTACCACCGTAGCCACCTTCCTCACTTACTCTTTCATTCACCGCCGGCGTCGTCGCCAGCCCCTCCCTGGCTTTCGTTATTTTCGATTTTTTATTTTTTATTTTTTATTTTTTTTATTTTTTTTCATTCTAGATCTGAAGCAACAACTTAATTTTTTAATTTTAATTTTTTTTTTGATAAAAGAAATTTTTCTTGTTATTTGATTAATGTTTTCTCCCTTAATTTTGTTCTTAGGGAAAGGACATTCTTGAAATCAACCACCCATGGGAATCCCTTTGGAACGAAGGTTGGTGTTATGTTTTATGAATTTTGTTTGATATCTCATTATGTTTAGTTTCTTGAGTTTTTGCTTGTTGCTCGTAAAGAAAGAAAGATAGAAAATGAGCTTTCATTAGTCCAAAAGAAGAGCGTATATATTGCATAGCTTCTTACTTTATATAAAGTAAGCACTGTTAATACGTGTATTGGAACTAATTAGATTATGTAGTCAGTATGTAATCTTACTCAATGGTGTTCTTTGTGCCTTAAAACTAGACTTAGCAAACATTACGTATGATATTTCTCTAGTTGTGTTTTGTTATCTATGTTTGTATATGTGCACTTATGTATGTGCTTTGAAAATTGTTCCATTCTGCACCTTTTAATGTATATAGTGTTGTTTCATGTTCCCGTTCTTCAGAGAAGCCGAGGCTTGGTCTTTTTGGTTATGTTAAGTAGTTTACTGTAAAAAGTATTAATATAATGTAATATTTTCTTTTCCTTTCCAGATCTGAAGCAACAGGAGTAAAGTGACCATATTCTGATTTGAATATGACTATTGCTGATTCATTCAATTAGTGATTTATGAATTCGAATCACGAATAATAGAGTTTCTGAAGCAACAGGAGTAAAGTGACCATATTCTGATTTGAATATGACTATTGCTGATTCATTCAATTAGTGATTTATGAATTCGAATCACGAATAATAGAGTTTCTGATGATGAAGAGTGGTTCCGATCAATTTTCATGAATTCAAAGTAGGAAAATGTCATTCCCTATTACTCATGAAGCTACAGAGAATATGACTATTGTTGAATATGACTATAGTCATATTCAACTATGTTCCTCTCGTTTCTCACCCCAATTGCAAATCCTTCTATCTTCTCGTTTCAAGTTGACTTATAATAACAAGGTTCAAATTAATTGAGACTTTTTGTGTTGATGTTGATTGGATTGTTTTGTAAATAATAGGCAATTTTCAGTTTTTTATATATTTTGTTAAACATGACTGTACTACACTATATAGTCGGAATTTTTAAGTTGAAAAAGTAAAAAACGGCAATATAAAGAAAGAATATGACTTCGATTGAGATAGTCACATATAGTCATATTCAACTATAGTCACATTCGGCGTAGTAAACTTATCGGAGAAAAAAATCAATTTATCATTTAAAAAGAATTTAAAAAAAATATATAAAAATAATATTAAAATAATAAAATAAAATAAAAATAAAAATACACTATACGTAGATGGGATATTGAGTGGGGAGAAATCCCTATTATATTGGCATTATTAAGGAAAGTGGGAGGAATTATTATAGGGAAAATTCCTATTATAAAAATAAAATATAATTTATAAAGGGTAGCATTGGAATTAAAATTTCTAGGGGCTATCACAAAGGAAGATTTAAGGGTTGGACATATCACCATTTATTATTCATTCGAGGGGTTTATTGCTAAAGACCCCCATATATATATATATATATATATATATATATATATATATATATATATATATGGATAACCCCCAAATGCCTTTTGCAGTTAAGACCTAAAAAATATTTCCCTTCTTGAGATAAATACATAATTTAATTTTAAATTATATAATACGATCATACCCTTCAACGAAACCATATACAACACCGTTTAAACCTAACCACATCCCAACAAGAAAAACCCTAGCCACATCAATTTTCTCTCCTCCTCGACCCTCTCTCGATCGAAGGCACAAACATCCAGAAAAAATCTAAGACGACTAATTTCGACTTGGTGACGACGAGATTTGGTCCCCACGACCGGATCTGGAGTCGACGAGCATCTGATGTTCTGTAATTTTTGATAGTTTGGAGATTTTTGCTGGTGCTTGATACGCGTAAAACCTACGTATGAAAAACCGCAAGTGTACCGTATCGCGTTTTGTAGAATATTGAATTCCTGATATCGATTCACAGGAAATTAAGTTCTTAAATCTACCAAGTACCATAATTATACTATCCTAAACTTTATCTAGACGATCAAGAATGGATGGGAGAAATGAAACTAAAAAGAAAAAATAAATAAAAACAATGGTCCGCCAGGACAAGCAGAGTAATGGCAGTAAGTGGGAAGTAAGTGGGACAAGGTTGAGTGATGCTCCGGTCACTCTGCTATTGGTTGCGATGGCGGTTCTTATTAAAAGGGATTTTTGTAGTGGATTTAGCTAAGTTTTTAGTAGATTTCGATAAAATTGAAGTGGATTTTCTCTTTGTAAAGAGAATTTTTGGTAGTGGATTGCTATAATTACGTAGTGATTTTTGATAAGCTTGCAGTGGATTTTAGATTTTAGCTTTCGAAATGGATTTTTCATGAATGAATTAAATTAACGCGTTGTTGTCTTCTTTTTCATTGTTTTAGGTTTTTGAGCAAGGAGAGCGATGACAACAAGAGTGACTAAATTAGGTGATGCTTGGACAATTCTATTATTGTTAGTGATGGCATTTGGTAGTGTCTTTTTTTTTTTTTTTTTTTTTTTAAATAAAACAGAGTAATAATAGTAGTTTTGTTAAGTTAATAGTGTATTACGTGATATTATTGTAACACCCCGTAATTTATGCTTATGTCATATATATACACAAGAGTTTATTGTACTTTATAATAAGAATTGGGGGCTGATTTGTTATTAATAGATAAAGTTGGGGGATAAGTATAATAATAACTTTATAAACTTGGCAACCAAGTTTAAGAATTGGGTATGGTTAAACGAATCAGCTTCTTTGTCATCTTTATCCGATGAGTTTCTCATTCTTCGTTTCTTTATATATACTAAAATAGTTCCTCACTCTCTCATCATCTCTCTCGCCTGCTCTCTTCTCTCTCTCTCGATTCTTCACTGGAATCATAGAAATTGTTGGAAAAATCAAGTTCTATGAGAGGATTTTGAGTAATTAAGTTTAGGTTGAAGGATTGAGAGATTAAAGAAGAAAGCCCCTAATTGATTCTTCAAAGAAAGGGGCTGCAAGAAGTTTTATCAATGGATTCTTGAGAAGCCAGCTTCCTGATGGTGGTGTATTTCGCCGGCGGAGGTCACCGGTGGTCGGAAGACGGCAAGAAGTGCAGCCTGCCCCTGAACTTTAGGAGTCGATTTGAGGTACTTAGGCTTTGAATTTCGGATTTGTTTCTTCTCAAAAGTTGTAGAGCAGCTCGAAAAATATAGGAATACCATTTTTTCCCCAAATTTCGACTATCATATATAACCGAATTAAACCCGACAGTTATGTCGGCAAAATTCAGAGAAATGAAGAATTGCTGCCGCACCTGTTTTCAGAGCATAATTTGGAGGGTTTGGAGTGTGAATTTGGGAATCATTCCTTGACGAAACTCGTAGAGGACCTCGAAAACTATTGGTAAGTATAAAATTGTATCGAGTTAGAGTATGTTTTGAAGCTGATTAGAGGTCCAAATTAAGTGACGGTAAATCTGTTAAAACCGGGCAGTTTTGCGTATTCGTTTTACGGGGCTATATATGCTATGTTGGAGTAATAATTTAGGCTATATGTCTTCTGAGAACCTGTAGATTACATTTTCAGGTTCAATTTGGTATATTGTTTGGCCAATTTGGATAACTTTACAAATAGTTATGAATTTTACAAAACTGTACCAGAAAAGAGAATTTATCCGAAATTCTGGCAGTTTTCTGTAGTCATCGTTTGGGGCTGTTTTGAATATGTTGGGATCATAATTTGTGATCAGAGCCTTCTGTGAACTTGTAGGATATTCTGTTATCTTTCATTTGAAGTATAATGTGATCAATTTGGATTAGCGTGTTAATTGTTATGATTTTTCAAACAAACTGTGCCAACAACGAATTTTCCAAAAACCTGGCAGTTTCATGTACTCATCCTCCGGGGCTGTTATTGCTGTGTTAGGTCAATAATTTGGGCTCATGGTCTTCAGTAAAACTATAGACACACATGTTAGATTTAATTCGATAAATCGTTTAGGTTATTCGGATAAGTAAGGTGATCGTAACGATTGTTCGAATAAACTGTGGCAGCAAGACATTCTTAATAAATGTTTCAAGAAATTGAGTATGTGATATAGTGGAATAATACGGTTATATTAGCATTTAGAATGTTGTTAAGTAATGAATACTTTTATAGGTATCGAAGCGTACTAAAGTTCTCATTCAAGACTTGAGCATGACTCGAGAGTAAGGTGTTTTTATAGCACTTGCATTGGACTTCAGGTGAGGATTCCTATCCCTTGCCTATTTTTTCTGGATCTTTCTGGAAAAACAGGATATATGCCGAGCATTTGTATCGTTCGGTTTATTATTGTTATTACTCGTCTTTTAAATTCAATATATATCTATTGTCGCCTATGTTGTGAACTAATTTGATTTTCGAGAATTATTAATTCTTGAGCTATTGAAATCTTTGATCGATTCGAAATCCTGAGCATGGAACTTAATAAGTTCTCATCTTGCTTCGGGAATTATTCGAGTAATTTCTCATCCCGATTCTTTGATTACTCAATTGAGTTCGTTTATCGACCTTGAATAATTCAACGAGTTCCAATCTGATTCTCTATCAATTTTGAGTCGTTTCACATCTTGACTTGTATACTAGTTGGAACCACTTCTATTATGATTCATTAAATCATTTGATTTGTTTCTACAGTGGTTCAATGAACGTAAATCTTTCTTTTCCAGACTCTTGGACCATTTAGGCTTATTGTGTTTATCCATTAATCATTCGTTTCGTACCTACTGTGAATTGATGGATGGATCGTTCATACTTTGACTTCTCACTGGTCCTTTGGAACCATTTGTCTTTCAAGCTATACAATTCTACGGATTCAACTCTAACCGTAGACTATTGTTGTTGAGATCCATCTTCATCAATTGTTATCGAAATTGTAGTTGTTCTATTTTCACTTGAATCGTTGTTATACGATCCTGAATTGTGGTCACTCTTATACCGAAACCGTTGATCGTACCTTTATTGACTTGTGATTTTGTGACCACAAGATATTATCACTTGTTATTGGAATCCCACAATCGTTGAACTATGATATTGGTTCATTCCCAAGTGGAATTCATTACTGGGATTCAAACCGTAAATTGAGATAGTCGGAAGCATATCCGTATCTCTATATTATTGATTCCTTTGGGGACGCCCTAAGGATAATTGACCAGTTGGGCCCGGGGCTGTTCGAAAAAGACTGTTGGGCGGTATTGGGCCGACGGTGGATGGTCTCTTCGATAGTACCCATATTGGATCTAGACCATTGGCATAGTTGGAGGTTAACTGTGCTGATGGATGGATCGGCATGCGCCCGGGCATGCCTATTGATCGACTAGCAGGGTCATTCCCTGATCGGTGTATAAGGTAGTTACGACTAAGGGAGTCACAAGGCAGGTACAGGTACATGAACAAATTGTTACCATGGGAATCTCCATGGTCTCATATTTGATATCCGAAATTGTTATCGTGGGAATCTCCACGAAATTCATAATTGATATCCGGGAATTACCCGTTGAGTATTGTTCTTTACCTGTATATATTGATTGTATTGTTTATTCTGATCATATTGATGTCCCTTATACTTTGGCCTCTTATTCCTTATCGAACGATCATTCTCTAGATGGTCCAATTCCAACTTCAATTCCTTGAACACTTATATTGTGATTATTATTTGATTCGACAGTTTTTCCCTTGTACTCCTCACTAAGTCCACTTGGACTTACTCCTCCTTTTGGACTTACTCCTCCTTTATTTTCCTTCTTAATCTCAGTAACAGGTGCATTAGTGGACGATATTGTTGATGGCTCTTAGGAGTAGAAGTTATTCAGATATTTTAGAGAGTACATTTGATATAGAGTTGTGTTTAAGAATGATTGTAATTCGAGAACTATGAATACGAGATTAGTTGTGGCATTTTGTTGTCACGTGTATTTGATTTTAGGGTAAATAGCCCCCCCCCCCCTTGTGGTTACAGGCTTTGGCAGATGACCCCCTCGTGGTTGTAATATCAGCAGATAACCCCCTTGTGGTTAGAGGGGGGTAGCGCCCGTTAAAATTTCCGTCTAACTTACCTGGGCGTGTATGTTACGCGTGCGGAAGACAAGAGAGCAGCCCCATCCAATTTCTAGACTTCAGAAAATGCCCATATTACCCTTTTTCTTGAAATAAATACCCCCCTTCATTTATTCATTCCATTTGGCGCGTTGACTTTTTCGAATTTTTTTTTTTCTTTCTTTCTTTCTGTTACTTTTTTTCGTTTAAACAACAATATTGCTGTGATTGACAGTAATATTAACTATATTACTGTTAAACACAGTAAAATTAACTAAATTATAGTTTAACACAGTAATATTGCTATATTAATCTCTAGCACGGTAATATTAACATAACAAAACTCATTATTATTGTGTAATAGAGTAATATTACTATGTTGACCGTTCAACAAATGTAAATATAATAAAAAAGCCAAAAGAATTAATATTACTGTGAGTGACAGTAATATTACTATAACAATAGTAATATTACTGTCAACCACGGGAATGTTACAATAATAGACAGTAATATTATTACGTTACTCCGTGAATAACTCAAACAAACAAAAAAATCCAAACAAAATAATAATATTGATGTGGTTGACAGCAATATTACTATAACAACAGTAATATTACCGTCAACCACAATAATATTATTGTGTTTACAGTAATATTACAATAATAGACAGTAATATTATTACGTTACTCCGTGAATAACTCAAACAAAACAAAAAAAAACAAAAAAAATAATAATAATATTGATGTTGTTGACAGTAATATTATTGTAAACAATATTATTGTGTTTACAGTTATTTTACTGTCAACAACAGTAATATAATTACGTTGACTTGTGAACAAATCAAACAAGATAAAAAAAATAATAAAAAATAAAAAATAATTATACTACGTTAATTTATTGTCAACGACAGAACAATTACATAAATGTATTGTCAACGGCAGTACAATTACGTTAATTAACTGTCATTGACAGTAAAATTACGTTAATTCACTGTCAGCGTCAGCATAATTACGATCAACGTTTAGCGACGGACATAAAGAAAAAAATAAACAAACAAAAAAAAAATTAAAAAAACACTGAAAAAAATCAACGTCGGAGACCGGCGAAAAAATCCGGAAGAAAAGAAAAGAAAAAAGAAAAAAAAAAATTTGAAAAGTCAACGCCGGAATCCGGCGGCAAAAATTTTGTTTTTCAAAAAAAAATATTTTGAAGAAAAAGTTTTGGGTCAAAATTGAATAATTTGTGAAATTTGGGGTCAAATTGAAATTAAGTTATGGATGAAATTGGAGTATATTAAAGTATGCTCCAAAAAAAGTCAAAATTTAATTTTTGTGGTCAAAATTGAATTTTTGTGGACAAAATTGATTAAATTGGGGTTACAATTAAGAATTGGGTATAAAAGGTTGAGAATAATATTGGCATATACATGAATGTTTCCTTTATTTATAATAAATATTAAAGGGATGAGTTTATTGGTAAAAGAGACTTATGCACAAAAAACCCTTTTTAAATTGACCTAACATCGTTTCAGAACATCCACAAAGCATATATATATATATATATATATATATATATATATATATATATATATATATATATATATATATATATTTATATATATATTGGACCCATTTTTATTCATTAGTATTAGTATTTCTAAACGATTTTAAAGCATATCTATATAGCTGCCCATATCAAATGCACCGATAATATATAATCTAGAGAAATAAATATCACAGATCCGAAAACTGAGGACTATATCAGGAGCGGAACTGTAAAAACATTTGTGTCTAATTTAGAAATCGTTTTCGTGCCCGAAGGAAGCCATTTTGTGCAAGAGCAATCACCCGATGAGGTGAATAATCTCGTCGTTAATTTTCTCAAAACCCATAATTAATTTAAAGCATTCAGAGATGTTGTGACCACTGTAATTTGGTAATTTCATCATGGTGTGTAATTGTAGGGGAAGTTTGAAACCTATATATAAATAATCATCTCTCACAATTCTCATTAACTAGGGGTAATTTGAAAAAAAGTTATAAAAAAATCCAATATAGTCATCATTCTCAAACAACATATCTTGCAAATATTATAGGACACAAGGATTTTATAATCATGAACAGAAAACATAAAGATAATCACATAATAGGTTATCAGGAACAATCTAATCTTATTACGTAACGAGGCCTAAGACAACAACATTGAACTGACCATTTGTCGAGGAAACATATGCAAAGACATACGTATCTCCGCTTTGAGAGAGAGAGGGAATTTGTTGCTAATAAATCACATGATATTTTTAGTTTCGATCGGGAATCACCTCAGTATCCACAGAGCCAAAATTTGTTTCCTTCTACGTGACAGAAACATTGCAAGGACAAGGGGACTAACATGAAAAAACAAAAGTTCATGCGTACTTATCTCATATTACCCTCGCGGAGAACATCAATCATATCATATATCCTCTTGTCTGAATTGGATTTAACCTGCATTTAGGAAATTCATTTTAAATCAAACAACTAAAGCAAGACTGAATCATGTACATAAAGTTTGTGACTATTTGCCTATAAAATAGTACTACTAGATTTTACAGACTGGATCAATCAATCAATCAATCAGAAAAAAATAATTACCTTTTTAGCGAGGAAAAGTACAGCATCAACAGTGCCTTCTGCATAAATTGATCTGCCACAAACATTGTGCTGAAACTCAAAGGAAACACTTTTCCACGGAAAAGTACAACCGAGAAGATTATTAGAAAGGCTGATGCTCGCAAGTAACTCGTGGGATAAAAAAGAAACCATAATCAAAGGGTAGAGAGATATCTTACGATCCATCAGGTGATGTTAGGTGATACATGTGGAATGCATGACCATTTAAATGCTCTTCTGGGACTCCCACCATCTCAATTTGCATTCTAGGGTCCCTTATTAGCTGGATCTGATTGAATTCATTGATAAAAAATACCAGAAATCAAATCAGACGTGAGAGAACATTATCTATCTTTATTTCCAATTTAAAATAAAAAGGCTTCCAAAACCTTGTTTTCTACCCATCAACTGCTCTAAAATACCAGAAAACTTGAATATTTAGAAAAACACAATGTGATGTGTGAGAGACAAGATCATGAAAGAGAGCTGACATTTCTTAATTAAATTAAGGTTCTTAGTTAAGAACATCAATGCTTAACATTCGCTCTTATTCTTGCATTACGGACTGATTGATAGACCGTCTAAGCTGCCACAAACTATTTGCGACTGGGATAAGATGCACTCCAAGATAACTCTGTTACTCCCAATGAACATATAATAGGACATGGTTTGTGACTCAGTAATATTATAATTTGTCTTTAGTACCTGGTCTCGTTCAAATGAGGCCCCCAGATCTTCGAAACATGTGATGACAGCCTTAGCAGTTCCAGAAATATCCACCTTGCTAGCTTGATGCGACTCCATTACCTTGTACAAGTTTTACAAGGAACACAAAAAGGCAAATATAGGGCCAGTTAGCTGATGTTCAAGAAGCTGCGAAGAATTTAATATACTAAGAATAAAGAGTGAGCAGTTTCAAGAACCATGAAAATTCTTGCATTACTACTTCGCATAAAAATCAAGAATGCTATAAATGATTCTCATCAGAGAGATGGAGTGTAGATAAGTTACTTGTAGATTATACCCAGAAAATGCGTCTGGAAATTGTTTTGCCATAATTTCCATTGCTGCAAGAAATGCCACCACCTAAAAATATCAGTGTGGGAACTGTTAAACATGTAAAGTGAAAAACAAAAGGAAAAAAAAAAAGTGCCAAAATTTTGTGAATGCTTTGTCAACGAAAAGACAAGAGAAAAAAAAATTGAAAAAGAAAGAAAAAATGGAAACGAGAAAAGAAAAAGAGACTCAAGATTCCAGTACCTGTTTACCCATTTGGGGAGATATCACAGCATAAACATTCGAGTCAGCCACAGTCTTATACAGAAGTTCCCTGTCTCCCCCAGTGGTTCCCATTACAAAAGGTACTCCAACTTTACAGTACAGTGCAGCATTGTCTGTATACCATGCCAAAACAAATTTAATGGCCAATTTTGAGATTTAATTAGAATATCAGAATACGAATAGAGTGAGATAAGAAATAAGATTTTCAAATATGCCGAATCTTCATGTCAGTCAATCAGTCAGTCCGTACACGGAATGTTGGGGAAGTCTTAAGCGTTAACAAGGCAAATTAACCAACAACCTTTAATACCAATCTTATTTACTAATACTAAAACTATAACTTAATATCATCAATACAAGAAATAGAGCTTATTTTTCTACCTCTCAAGATAATGGCAAACAAGGGACAGTAGATTCCCAAAGAAGATATGATGGAACAGACTCCTGATTTTAATGATGTATTTAGACCCACCAAACCCCTAAAGACTTCTCGAAGAAAATAAAGCTAATAAAAGAATAGGATTGAATGAATTTGTTTCCAACCTTGCATTATTCATTCATTGTATGGATTTTGCATCGAGATCGACAATTAAGCAAGATGATTCAACTGCATCAACCATGACCAGTCCAACAACAACAATACAAATGCTGAACCAGTTAATGCCAGTAGGCACTATAATTTATCATGATCATGAGATAGTTCCAACTTCCATGATATAATCTCACTTATAAATTTATAAGGTGTTGTAATGTCAGAAATAGTTCAAACTCAAAATACATCAGGTATTTGTTAAATCAAACTCTGAATTCTACAATTAAGTCAAAGTACGCTTACCATTCACAGCAGCTGGCAATGTGTAGTCCACCACAATCAGGTTCGGATAATCACTAAACGCAGAAGATAGAACAGATTCTCTGTCGGAGGGACCATGCACTTCAATTTGTTTCCCACCAAAATCCAGGATCTTCCCTGAATCGTCTGGACCGCCTAACACTACAGGAACAGGGTTAAGCCCAGCGGCCATAGCTGCTTCGAGCACAGCCCTCCCCATTTTTCCAGTACAACCATTCACCTGAAACACAAAGAATACTTTCACCCTTGAACAGTGATCAATAAGCAAACAAAAAACAAGCATTTACTTTACACATTCAGCATACATTTCAATTATGCGAATATTCGAGCAGCTCCAATAAGAACATGCGATCAAAATTACGAATGAACTCATACAAAACTGAAATTCGATAAAAAGTTAAGCTCAATTATACCATAATAGGAATTCCAAGATCCTTGGGTGGTGCAACAGTAGGCACCAGCTGGAGAGATTCTACTTGTGCGCTTGACATCTTGACCGAGAAATCCCGACCAGCAGGAAGCCTAGAATTTATTCTAATACCTACTGATTTCACAATTCTCGAGTCGGAAGATGGATTTAGCATATTATTGTTTCCTCGCCAAGTTGTGCGGCTGATGCAAAATGGGGATTTTACGACAAATGCCATTCAGGAATAGCGTCAGCCTTAATCAGACAAATACCAAAAAAATAGATGAACATCAGACAACATATTTTCAATTTTCAACAATTGAAAGGACCAAAAAATGACATGAGTAACGAGTAAATCTGATAATTGTTCAACAATTGAAAATTAGGAAACAAAATTAACCTAGAATAAATAACTGACCTGGTGGCGTGGATTTCCACAATTGGGATTTTCTACAAGGGCTACTTTTAGAATCTATCAATAGTCAAATCGTGCTCGAGCGGCGAAGGAGGGCTGACGGTGGCGGTTGGTGAGGCGCGACGGTGCTGCTGGAAGGCGGTGACAGACGGCAAATTAACCTAGTGCTGGTGGCTCGACGGGCCGGGATCTAGGAACTGCGGCGGCACGTTAGGGGGGTGTCTAATTGAGCTTGGTACCTGTTATGGATGGGAAGCTAAATCAATGGTGAACTCTTTATAAAAATGATGCATCAATCATGTAGACAGAACCAGTGAACATATCAAATGTTTAAAACATGCAAAACTATTCTCTATGCATATGAAGAGTGTTGCAAGGAAGAAGATTTTTCTAAGCATATCTGCACAACATTCTGTGGAATAGCTTAGACTTGTTGACTTATTGCCATAATCTCATCACCAAGCATCTTAGTAGTTTAATATTGTCTCACATATACATATAAACACCACTAATGAGATTTAAGGTTAAACACAATAATTCTTGGGAAAATAGAGAATTTAAAAAGGAAAATTCTACTGTTAAATGCTCATAAGATATGCACAAACGGACACGTACTCCTATTAGACTCAAGTGATTCTTATCATCAATGCATAACAAGAATAAATATATTTACATATATGTATATAGATGTATATAATCGAACAACACGTGTTGTAACCTAAACTAGCTGAGTCTTATTCATCAGATGCGATTACATCAAACCGTTTTGAATATTTCAGTATATACTAAAATTACCAAACCATTACATCTTTAATGATTCAGCTACAAAATTTGGAAAAAAAAAATATCGGTCCAATGCAGTAAAACAAATTAGGGAGGAAAAAAAAAAGGAAAAAATGTTTCTAATGAAACCAAATGCAGGGAATTTATCATCACAATTTCCAAACTCTGCTAACTATTTGGCGTAAGGTCAAATTGATTCTTGTGGAAAAAAAATTAGCAATAAATATAATCATACATAGTACAAAATCACTATTTTAAATTCAAAACCATGAGAAAGAAATATCTCAATCAACTCTTTTAACTCCCCAATAACACCAAAAAGAAGAGAAAAAAAATAGATGAACATCAGACAACATATTTTCAATTTTCAACAATTGAAAAGACCAAACAATGACATGAGTCGAGTAAATCTGATAATTGTTCAACAATTGAAAATTAGGAAAAAAAATTAACCTAGAATAAATAACTGACCTGGTGGTGTGGATTTCCACAATTGGGATTTTCTACAAGGGCTACTTTTAGAATCTATCAATAGCCAAATCGTGCTCGAGCGGCGAAGGAAGGCTGACGGTGGCGGTTGGTGAGGCGCGACGGTGCTGCTGGAAGGCGGTGACAGACGGAAAATTAACCTAATGCTGGTGGCTCGATCTAGGAACTGCGGCGGCACGCAAGGAGGTCTAGTTGCACTCGATACGGAGACTGAGAGAGCGGGTTTTCTTCTTTGTCGTGAAGTCGGCTAATCTCCCTTTACATAGTATTCCTTGGGCTGTGTTTGGTTTGACTTCGAACCACAAATAGCGCGTTCTCATCTAAAAGAAAAAAATATCTCGTCAATTTTTTTGAATTTCATTTGTCTCCCAAACACAATTTAGTTATATATATGGGATTATTAGTGAGAACCCCCTCCATTATTTAATTTTAATTATTATTTACATAATTATTAGGTGTTAAACCTATATTACCCTTAGTTGCCAAATTTTGTTAAAATAAACCCTAGCCGCATATTTTATACCAATAACAGTTCTCTCATCGACACTCATCTCCACCACTTCTCTTCTTTCTCGATCTGGGAATCCCGGTAATGGAGGTGGAGGCGGCGGCTAAACGGAGGACGAAGGTGGCGCCACATCTCAACAACGACGAAGGAGTCGTTCTCAAATCTCCGGCACCGTGAAGAAAATTAAAGAACAATAGCCGCTATGGAGTCGATTCTCGCTTAGTTCGCTTTGTTCTCAGCCGCTATGGAGTCGATTCTCGCTTAGTTCGCTTTGTTCGTTATATTCGGTGGCCACCAAAGGCGTTGGAATCGACTATGGGAAACCCTTCGTTTTTTTTTTTGGTAATGGTTAACCCCTCTCTACCTCCACCCTCGTCTCCATCGTCAGATCTGGTAACATCGCTCTACTCCACCGCAACCATAATTTAAAAAAAAAAATCGGAGATGTTTTTATTGATGGGTATCTTTTGCAGCAATATAGTTGTTTTCGTTATTCTACTATTTAGTATAGTTGTTTTCGTTATTCTACTATTTTGTATAGTTGTTGATGGGTATCTTTTGCAGCAATATAGTTTTTTTTTTTTTTTTGTTCTTTCGATTTTTGGAAGCATTCCTGGAATCCTCGTCGAAAGACCGCCTCCACCACCGCTGTAATGGAATAGATTGACCACGAAGAGGAGGTATTGTTTGGGAGGCTGGTTTGTTGAAATTGTGTTCGTGTTACACAAAAAGATATAGTTGTTTTTGTTACGGTTGTAGTTGGTTTCAATAATAGTCGTTTTGGTTGGAATTTTGGTATGTTTTTTGCTTTTGCTTTTGTGGATTTCAATAATTTGTAGTTGATTTAATATAGTTGTTTTCGTATAGCAATATAGTTGTTTTTACACAATAATTTTATTGTTTGAATAAATAGTTGATTTAACAAATAGTTGTTTTAGAGATGTTTTGATTAAATAATTAATTAATCTTACAATGGAAATAATATAATATATAATTAACTTAATGAATTGCGAAATTGATGTATCATTGTTTTAATACTAATTGTTTTAATAATAGTCGTTTTAATAATAGTCGTTTTAATAATAGTCGTTTATTGGCATATAGTTGTTTTAACTGAAAACTAAAAGAATATTTAAAGAAAAATATTAAAAAAAATAATAAAAAAAAAGTTTTTATAAAAAAATTATTATTTTTTAAAGAAGAAATAAATTAAAAAAACGAAAATTAAAATTAAACTATAAAAAAAATAAAATAAAAATATCAAACTAGTGGATAATAGGTAGTGAATAGTGGGAGGGTAAATTTGAGAATATAAAAAAATGAGTTTCTCACTATTAAAGGAAAAGGAACTGGAACCATCCCTATTAAAATAATGTTAGAGGGGGTTCTCACTAATAGTCCATATAAATATATATATATATGGGAAATATACAATACACCCCTCATTTTGAAAATATTTTGAACTAAACTCAATTGACTTTTAAAGATTTGTTCTCTCACCCAAGTTTCACTCTTAATCAGTGAGAACACCATTGGAATTGTTATTTCCCTATTCTACCCTTTCATTACAAGCCCTGGTTCACCCACATTTTTTCACATAATCCAATTTCCATTTCTTTCTTTTCCTATATCCCTCTATGTCGTTCTCCCTCTCTTTCGTTCTCTTCCTCACAAATTCTCTCTTCTCTTTTTCTCAGATCTGTAGCCACCGTTGTCACCCTCCTTCTTCCTCTTTTTCACACCACCGCTGTAATATGCTCAGCCCAATCACAGACCATGGTTGCCGCAATTTTATACCTCCGCGGCCCCTCCGCCCGCCTCAACTTCCCTACTGCGCCATCGAAGACGTCGGCAGCCTCTTGTCTACCGCCGCCATCAGGAAGAAGGCCACGGAGGTTGGTGCTAGGATTGACGTCGCTCGCATTCGAGATTTACACCAGCGCTGCCGCCTTCCTCCCTCATTTTCACACCACCGCCATTATCCACTCACCCAACCACCGAGATCACAGCCACCGCCTAGGGTTGTGCCGTCAAGACTTGCTACGATGTCAAACTTCCCCAAAAACTCATGTTGTCGCCTCCTACACATCACACCACCTCCCTTTCGTTATTTTCAATTTTTTTTCTTTTTTTTTTCTCCCCAGATCTGAAGCAGCAACATAAACGTGACTATAGTCTGGTTCGAATATGACTATTCGATTTTTTTTTTATTTATGTATTTTTTGAACAGCAGCAGTAACATGACTATAGTCATATTCGAATATGACTATAGTCATATTTATGTATTTTTCGAATATGACTGTAGTCATATTCGAATATGACTATTGTTGAATATGACTGTAGTCATATTCGAATATGTTATATCTTCTCGTTTTCAAGTTTACTTCTAATAACTAGATTAGAATTGTGATTTTTTGTGTGGATGTTGATTGGATTGTTTTCGTAAACAATAGGGAATCTTCGTTGTTTTATATAATTTGGTGAACATGACTATACCACACTATATAATCGGAATTGTTAAGTTGAAAAGGTGAAAAACTGCAATATAAAAAAAAATATGACTACAGTTAATACAGTCACATATAGTCATATTCAACTATAGTCATATTTGGCTTTGTAAATCTGTCGAGAAAAGAATTTCAATTTTTTGTTTAAAAAAAATAAAAAATAGATAAAAAATATATTTTTATTTAAAAAATATTAAAAAAAAATAAATAATGGCTAAATAAAATTCGAAAATAATAAAAAATAAGAAATAAATTTTTTTTTTTTATTTGGTAGCAAATTTTTAGGAATTTGGAAGCAGATTTTTAGGAATTAGATTATTGTTATGGAAAGAGAAAAAAAAAAGAATAATTGAGAATAATTATGCTAATTGACATAAGGGTAGAATTGGGAATAAAATTTCTAGGGGTTATCACAAAGAAAGATTTAAGGGGTGGACATATCACCATTTCTTATCTATATGAGGGGTTTATTGCTAATGACCCCTATTAACATTAAACTTCGTCACCTTAAATAAAAAAAAAACAATTTGAAGTATAAACTAATTTTAGAATATTCTATAATTTGTTAATTATATAAACAAAATAAAGTTATAAAAACTCTAAAATAAAACCCTTTATTTGGTGACATTAATCCTTATAAGGATCAAACTAAGATGGCTTGAAATGATATGGAACGGAAATTTGACAAACCACTTCACATGCATTTTACAGTTAGACAAACCCCTTCACATGCATTTTAGAGTTAGGAGGGGTTTCATTTTATTTTTATTTTTTTTACAGGTATAAGATAAATTCAAAACGTTCTTTAATCAGCAAAAAATATTACAATTTCACTATAACACTCTTACCTATTTTTTAACCTAGCCAGTCGCCGCAGTAGCCGTCTATTTCTCTCTTTTCTCTTGTCCTATCTCTCTTCTCTTCACAACTCACGCCTTTACCCACATCTCTGCCGCCCCGCCGGACGACAACACCATCTCTGCCATCTTTCCTCCTCCTCAGGGTGACCTACTGTTCCACCTAGGGATGGAACCAGGATCAAAACGCATGGGGACAACTATTATCTCAAGGTTCGAGGCAGCGCCGAAAAAAAATAGGTTCTCAAGACATTGCAAAAATAGGTTCTCTTCTCTTTTTCTCAGATCTGTAGCCACCGTCGTCACCCTCATTCTTCCTCTTTTTCACACCACCGCTGTAATATGCTCAGCCCAATCACAGACCATGGTTGCCGCCATTTTATACCTCCGCGGCCCCTCCGCCCGCCTCAACTTCCCTACTGCGCCATCGAAGACGTCGGCAGCCTCTTGTCTGCCGCCGCCATCAGGAAGAAGGCCACGGAGGTTGGTGCTAGGATTGACGCCGCTCGCATTCGAGATTTACACCAGCGTTGCCGCCTTCCTCCCTCATTTTCACACCACCACCATTATCCACTCACCCAACCACCGAGATCACAGCCACCGCCTAGGGTTGTGCCGTCAAGACTTGTTACGATGTCAAACTTCCCCAAAAACTCATGTTGTCGCCTCCTACACATCACACCACCTCCCTTTCGTTATTTTCGATTTTTTTTCTTTTTTTTTTCTCCCCAGATCTGAAGCAGCAACATAAACGTGACTATAGTCTGGTTCGAATATGACTATTCGATTTTTTTTTATTTATTTATGTATTTTTTGAACAACAGCAGTAACATGACTATAGTCATGTTCGAGTCATATTCATGTATTTTTCGAATATGACTGTAGTCATATTCGAATATGACTATTGTTGAATATGACTGTAGTCATATTCGAATATGTTATATCTTCTCGTTTTCAAGTTGACTTCTAATAACTAGATTCAAATTGTGATTTTTTGTGTGGATGTTGATTGGATTGTTTTCGTAAACAATAGGGAATCTTCGTTGTTTTATATAATTTGGTGAACATGACTATACCACACTATATAATCGGAATTGTTAAGTTGAAAAGGTGAAAAACTGCAATATAAAAAAAAATATGACTACAGTTAATACAGTCACATATAGTCATATTTGGCTTTGTAAATCTGTCGAGAAAAGAATTTCAATTTTTTGTTTAAAAAAAATAAAAAATAGATAAAAAATATATTTTTATTTAAAAAATATTAAAAAAAAATAAATAATGGCTAAATAAAATTCGATAATAATAAAAAATAAGAAATAATTTTTTTTTATTTGGTAGCAAATTTT